ATTTTTCATGCTAAAAATGTGTTCAGGTGTATTTATGTTTGAATAAAGGCATGTAAGAGGGGTTTTCTTCAAGGATGTAGGCGTTTTGTCAAGGTGGGCAACTTCTAGCAGCAGTTGGAATAGGTGGTAACAATTGTATATATCCAATTGCATATGCAATCATTGTGAAAGAGAACACTATTTTGTGGCAATGATTTTTGATATTTTTATATGAAGATCTAGCAATGGAGAATTGGATATCCGTTACCTTCATTGAGTGATAAACAGAAAGGCTTAGTTAATGTTGTGGCAGATTTGTTTCTAGAAGGAGAACACAGATTCTGTGTTAGCCATATGAATTAGAATTTCTTTAGAAGTGACTTCAAGGGTAAGCAGTTGAAAGATTTTGTGTGGGATTCAACAAAGTCAAACCACTTTGGACCATTCAAGTATTGGATGGCGAAGATTGAAAGTGCTAATGAGAGGCACATGGATGGTTGATGAAAAAATCATCGAATGAGTAGAGGAGGTCTTACTTCTCGGATTAGTTGACCTGTGAAATGCTTCTTATTAACCAACATGAGTACTTCAACAACTTAATTTTGGAAGACAGAGACAAATACATACTAACAATGTTGATTGGGATTCTGAACAAAATGATGCACCGAATTCAAATGAAGCAGGATAAACTAAGAAATTATAACAAGCCTAAATGTCCCAAGATACAAAAAAAGTTAGAGAAGTTTAGTGATGCGACCCATGAATGTATATTGCTTTGGAATGGGGCACATCAATATCAAGTTGATTGTTTGTATGGAAAATTTGTAGTTGATATGGAGAATTGAACTTGCACATATAGAAGATGGTAGATTTCTGGGATTGCATGTCTACATGCACTCACTTGCATCATGGATAAAGGTAATGACATATAAGATTACGTGTCGAAATGGTTTAAGGTTGATACATACATGAAACGTACGGAAATGTTATACATCCCATCAACGGGAAATATTTGTGGCTTGAATCGAGAGAAGTCCCTACTTCCTCCACCATGGTATGAAGCTAATAAAGGAAGAGAAAAAGGAAAAAGATGAAAGGGACCTCAAGAAATTGAAGCTTTTCAATTACAGTCGCAGGTGTCTACAAGGAAGAAGGTGAGAGTGTTTAAGACATTTTCGGTGTGTGGAGAGAAGGGACATAACAAACGTTACCATAATGCGAAGACACCGATAGGAACTCATACATGTAAGAGTGGTGTTGAGATACTAAGAATTACTAAAATCTTGAGTAACAAATTCATTGGTTTTCGTATATCAATGCTTACCCACATGTATCTATTTTTGTACATTTGTTTTGTGCAGATAGTCTGTAGTGTAGTTTCAATAGTTTTTGTACATTTTGTTGTTGTGAGAAAAGGGTTTAAAACCCGATTTTTGGTCTCTCTCTCTCTCTCTCTCCCTCCCTCCCTTTTTGGGAAGAAAACGAGTTTTAAAAATCCATGTGTGTAGCCCTTCTTCTATTTGGCATCCACTATCTGATTTGTAGTGCCACGTCATCAACCACATCAGCATTTCTTCAAATTTTTAAACGTGAGCTCAATGATGAACGAGATTACGTGGCAAAGTTCAGAGATGAATGAGGTGATTTTTAAAGTTTAGTGACCATATGAAAACTTTTTGTAAAGTTAAGTGATTATTTGGGTAATTCTCCCTATTCTTGGATGTAATGGCAATCACCTTGGGGTTCTAACACCTCCACTATTGTTTATGTCAATATCATAGATTAATGAAATTTATTCTACATGTAACGTATGGCCAACCACAATATATTGATTCCTAGTATTTTCCTCGTAATGAAAAGTGAGTTCTTTGTTTTATTTAGATTAGTAATGAGCCCATATGAATAAAAAAGTTTAAATTTTAGATTCCATATCTGCAGTATTTACACAGACGGTGCACACATTTGAATGGAAGGTGCCCAAGTTTAAGTACAATAAAGGCAATGCTAAAATATTTGTGTTTTTTATTTTTATACCATAAATTGACGGATCATAATAAATAATTAAGTGATGAGTAAAATGTTGAATCCATGATGATTAATATCTACTTATTTACTTTAAATTAAATTACACAAAATTATAATTTTGAGAATTGTTTTGATTTTATCTATATACTAAAATAAGTCATTAAAATGGGAACAAACCTTAGAGTTTAATCAAATCGCGGAAGGCTCAAATTCACCCTTGTTAACCAACTTTAATCATTAATTACCTGTTTATAATCAACTCTTAATTTATGTTAACAACCAATATTCTTCATATGAATAAGTAAAAATGCAACACGAAATTAGAATATCACGAAAAGGTTGCATTACGTATAGAAGCGTCTCTATCTCCTATACAACTTATTACTATGTGCTAATTTATACCAAATTTCTCGAAAAGAATATAAGTCACAAACATGTTAAAATGTTGATCAAGCATCAAAACAAAATAAGAAAATAAAAATCAACAATCACGGGAATTGAAATTAAAACGAGTAAATAATTAATCAAAGAGTTAACAATACTTCATCATTAATCATAGCCACAAATGGTTTAGCTATTATGTTTTGATCACAAAAATACAAGAGAAAAAGTAATATATATGACCAGAATAATTTTAAAAAAATTATATAACAAATGGGTGCTAAGTTGCACCAAAAATCGTCCAACTGCGGTCCCCGTTAAGATTATGGTGACCGCAGTCCACAACTATCTAAAGTTGTGTAGTTTGATTCCTAATCGTAGAAAATTGGCATTTTTTATTCATGAACTTTAAACCTGCATAACTTTCGATCCACAATTTCGAATTGAATTTTTTTTTACTTTAAACTCCAAATTTAATTATCTTTCCAATTTATATCATTTATCCTATGAAGATATTTGTACAAAACTTTATACTCTAATATCCTCACATGCTACAAACCTAAATTTCTCGTTTGCATCTTTTGGTCATTTTATGTCAACAGACATGATCTCCTACCCACGATAGACATGATTAAAACTTCATATTAGGTCCAAATTTGTAATTAGCAAATTTACAATTTCTAAATTTGTAATTGGAAATTTTCATATTCAAAATCGTAAGTTAGTTGAGTTGTAATTAAGTCAAAATATGAGTTATTGAGTTGTAATTATAGTCAAAATAGTTTAGGTTGGTAGAGTCTAAAAATGAGTCCAAGAAATTCAAAAAGAAGATAAAAAGTTAGATTATAAGAAGTAGATCAAGATTTGAACTCTCGATTTCTCGTTGTCTGCCCAGTTGGTGCTCGAGCATTGAAAGTAGGAGCACCAGTGCTTGACCTCTGTGACCCTGGCGCTCGAGTGGAATGTTGATCGCTTGCTTCGCCCGAGGTTTTTTAGTCGAGTGGCGACTCAAATTTCAGGAGACCTGGTTTGCATACAATTGTGATTTTTGAATCCCTTTACACCCTAAATACTTCCGTTATAAATATATAGCCATATGAACGTTCCAAAATTTGTTGAATTATTATTTTACTTTAGATATCATATTCTTGAAGATCCAAAACATATTCCGAAGATCTCTTGAATCAACCAGTTGATCTATTCTTCATATATTTATCCAAAACATAGTTCCAACATTGGTTGAGCCTTAAACTAAGTCAAGAGAACAAACTTTGAAGATTATATCCATATTTCAATATTCTCTTGCCTCAAACACAGATCAAAACATAGAAAGATCTTCTCCAATAAGCCTTCAATGTTTTGAAGTTTGGGAAGTGGTGCTAGGAGCTCCAGAGCTGCAGAACGAGGTTTCAATGAAGAACGAGTTTGTTATTGGTGATCCAACGGAGAGAAAAGTGGCCTAGAGTTCTGAAAAGTGGGAATCGCACAACCAAAGGAATTCCTTGTTGATTTACAAGTAGGTGGCTAGAGTCAACTAATGTTTAACAGTGTCTAGAGTAATTATAAGTTACTTTTCTAGTGGATCTTTTTGGCAAGGTTTGCCCGGAGGTTTTTGATCCTGAGAAGTGGTTTTCCTCCATGATTATATTTGATGTTATTTACTTTATTTTTTTTATCTTTACATTTATGTGATTATTTAACTTAGTAAATTGATTTTAAACTTAACCATCTAAAAATAATAATTAAGTGACTTGTTGCTTGTTATTGATTAATCCCACATAATTGGATTTAAAATTTCTCAACAAGTGATATCAGAGTTTAATAGCGATCCTTGACCAAAATTTTGTCTAGATGAATAAATCACTTTTTGATTCTGGATGTGAGTGAGAGATGGACTTTCGGGAGGCTTATGAGCAGTTGTTTGGAGAGTACCTTAAGTCGAAAAAGGTGAATCACTTTGCCTTTAAAAAATTGAATAATCTTAAATTAGAAAAGGGGTGCCTTGTAGTCAAACTTGAGGAATCCACTAAAAGTTTGAATGAGTTAAGGGTTGAGAAAGAGTCATTAAATGTTAAAGTTGAATCTCTTATGAGCGATCAAGAAAAATTAGGGACCGTTCTCTTCGTGTTTCAGTTTTGTGTTTTGAGTTTTGAATTCATTTTGTATTTTGTGTTTTGAGTGTCTGTTTTGAAATTTTTGAAAATGCGTTCTTTTTGCCGTACTGAAAAATTGTTTTCGAAAACGTAAAAATGGAAAACGCGTTTACTTTGAAATTTTGAGAATTTTTTTTAATAATATTTTATTAAAAAAATCTNAAAAACTGTTTCCGAAAACATAAAAATGGAAAACGCGTTTACTTTGAAATTTTGATAAATTTTTTTTATAATATTTTACTCAAGAAATTTGATTATTCAATAAATTTTAATAGTTTAATATTAATATGGTATTAAATAACATATAGGAAGTTGGTGAATCTTAAATTTTTTTTCCCAATTATATGTATATAATTTCAGATTTTTGAGCAAGAAAATTAAGGTTAACAACATCAATTCTGTCGATACGCTTTATGGATAGTTTGCCTTTAGCTCAACTCAACAAAATCAAAAAATGAAATTGAGGCATTGGAGTGAGCTTAGCAACCTTAAGCGATGTCTCCCCGTTACCATATATCGAATCAAGCTTGACAATTAATTACTTCACTAGCATCATAGATCGAAGTAGTCAAGAGGCATAAGACCATGTAAGTGCACTTCTTTCACAGAGATTAATATATAGTGACTAATTCTTGTAAGCATCATTAAAATACATGGTTTTTCAGCAAACAAGTAGGAGAACATTCTTATAAAAGAACTCCTTAAAATACATGGTTTTTCAACTCCCTCCAATAGAACTCCTATCATTTATATAAAGGCGGTATGCATCAAACATTCTTATACAACCTCTTAAATTCAAGCTAGCGTTGTTTAACTAGTAGGGGAACTAAACAAGAAAAATCATTACAAAAGATGCATGCAAGATTCCCTGAAAATACTTGGACTTGAACTCAGCAAAAGAGTTGCCTGATTCCCATGCATGGAAACCACTTCATCATGATCTTCCATCAGACAGTGCATGTAAACTAGAGTCTGTTCCAATTATTGATCTCAATCGCAAGAATGCCATGGAACTTATAGGATCTGCATGCAAATCACGGGGTGCTTTCGAAGTTGTTAATCATAATATTGCCATGAGCTTGCTTGATGACATTGAGTCTGCAAGAAAAAGGCTTTTCTCTCTTTCCACACAGCAGAAGCTTAAAGCAGCAACACGATTCAAAGGACCCAAGTCATGCCACACAAATAATTAAAGTGGTAGTTAATAATTAACAAGAAATTAAGATTATGCAAGTTATGATTTATTGATTCAGATAGAGACACGATAGAGATCATTGTCCCTGCCTAAATTTCGAATAGGAACTCTTTTGCAAATAAGAGCAAGATAAACCATGGAACACATATTTCACATCATTATTATGGAGATTCTATTGTTACAAATTGCAAT